TTTTTTGTGTCCTGCCCTTCACTTTAATTGCATCATCTTGGGTTAGCCATCGACGAGAAACTGTACAATAAAGCACGTGCTTATCAGAGAGAGAAAAAACCGCAATTATCGTCGGGTGCACTCTCTGAAGGGCAACTAAACTGACCTCGCTCTTCTGCTTTGCTCTTGTTTTCCTTATCTTTGCCGCGAAAAAAAGAAGGTTGGGGGGCAGACGCTACTGATGGACACACTCTGCCTGCTGTGACCTCTGCCTTCCGCGACCACCACCACCAACACTGCCGCTTTCTTGAGCATCCCAATGGTCGCGCATCGCATTCTCCAGCTCCTGCGCAGACTCCCGCATCACACGTGCAGTGGTTGTCTTCTCGTTGGGGGTGTGCTGCTCCTCGTGTGGTTTGCCAAAGACCTTAATGATGGCCTCGCGCTGCTGAGTTGTGAGCTTGTGCGGCATCTTCAGGTGGGTGATAACGTAGAGGTCACCGCGTCCACCGCTGGTTCCTGGCATTCCCTCTCCAGAGACCTTGAGAACGCTGTCCGGGCGGAGAACGGTGTCGTGAGGCACCTTTACCAACACCTGGCGTCCATCCAACATTCTCACAGACAATTGCACGCCTAAGAGAGCCTCCGAGAGGGTTATTTCCTTCCTCATCAATAGATCATCACCGCGTCGGGTAAATGTTTTATGAGGGGCCACCTCAATCTGCACATGCAAATCTCCTGGTTCCGCGTCAGGCATGGTTCCCCCCTCACCACGCACCACCAGCGTGACATTTGCGGGTACCCCGGGGGGGATATCAATATTTACGTCCTGTGCCAGGTGACGGTAGCCCATTCCATGGCACTTGGGACACTTATCATCTGCTTTTGCCATCGTGCCGGAGCCGCCGCAACGGGGACACTGTGAGACCGTCTGCTGCACCATCCCAGGACCCATGCGGTGCTGGTGTACAACATGACCACTACCGTCACAGTGGGGGCAGTTTGGCTTCTTTGTCTGACTCTTCGTCCCGAAACCGCGACAATCGGCGCACTTCACGGGCCTGTTTACCCGAGGCCTCTTAGACACCCCTTTATAAACCTCCTCCAGTGTCAAGCGTAACTTCACCTCGATGGGCTGCACCTGTGCGGGGCCGGGGCGCATGTCTCCGCCGAATCCACCCATTCTGCCCTTGAAAAACTCGGCGAAAATGTCCTCAGCCGTGTGATGGCCAAATCCACCCATTCCATTGGCGGCATTCATGTTTGAGGCGGCCTCTGACCCATACTGGTCGTAGACCCGGCGCTTTTCCTCGTTGCTAAGACACTCGTAAGCCTCGGCGACCTCGGCAAAGTCCTCCTTCTTTCCACCCTGATCCGGGTGGGTCTCCAGGGCCCGTTTGCGGTACGCCTTCTTGATGTCACTCGCCGTCGCCGTCCGGCCTACACCGAGGATCTTGTAGTAGTCCTTCGCCTCGCTGCTCGATAGCCGCAGCGCGACTCCAGGAAGGGCGGCAGCGACCGCAGCCGGAGCCCATCGGCGCCAGAGCATAAAGGGGGAAGTGAGACGGAACATTTCCTTTCCCGCTCTGCCGCGGCAGGTTGGCTGACTGTGGTCTCCCGACGGCGGGGAAAGGGAGCAGGCAACTTACTTCAAGGGAAGAATAGAACGCAAAAAGCGGCGAAGCAAGGACGCACACTCACACAGAAAAAGAAAATGTTTTTTCTTTTTACTTTCTTGCTGTCCCTACACGGCAAGAATGGGGACCCGGAAATAAAGACAAAGAGGGAGGAACGACCGGGAAAGTGAAGTCGCACATAACAACAATAACAATAATAATAAAATGCAATGCATCAACAAGAGCGAAGTCATAACAGCGGTGGAGCGGAGGCGGAGGTGGAGAGAGAGAGAGAGGGGGGGGGAGGGGAGGGGGCAAAATATATCCTGCACTGGGTCCGTTATGCCCGGTATCGCCCATGACACACGAATACACACACACGCACACACTGCGAAAGAGAAAAACAGAAACAACAAAAAAAGTACAAACGCACCGCTTTCGTTTCCGTTTCATCCATTTAGGGCGGGGATGCTTCGTGAAAGAACTTTCGCTGCCGCAGCATCTTGTGACAATTCGCACTACTGTGCGGACCACCGCAGTGAATACAAGGGTTTGTTCGGAAGCAGCTTGCACTGGTGTGCCCAAGTTGCCCGCATTTCTCACACTTAAGCAGTTGTGGATGTTTTTTGAAACAGTTTCTTGCAGTGTGCCCCATTTCACCGCAGAAAGAGCACTTGGCTTTCCCGTTTTGCTTCTTGAAGCACTCTGCCTCCGTGTGGCCCTTGGCACCGCAGAAGTGACACACACCGCCTGGCCCAATATAGCGCTCCAACCAAGCGACATTGACTTCCGCGGGTGTCGCGTCAGCCTCCTCGGTAACAGGCTTTCCAATTGCATAATGCTCAACGTATTGGGCGGTGAGGCGCTCCACTGCGACCACATCTACTGGGACGTTCCTCTGCTCCAGAAGGCAGTTGGACAAGAGGAGAATGTGCCGTACATCATCGGCAGCATACTCCAGAAAGTGGTCCGGCAACGGGCGAATGTCCCAGACAGGGCGGTTTCCAAGTGTCATGGCGGCCTGCACAGCCGAATCACCATCCTGCCGTGTAAGACCCGCAACGCTCTTCAGCACGTACGCCATACCGGAACGGCGATTCACACTGCGAAGTTTCCATTGAATGGCTGTGAAAAATACTTGGAGGTCTAACACACCCTCAGGCTTCAGCCCCAACTGAGAGCTCAGCGCCTCCACATCCCGCCTACAATCAAAAAATAATTTTCTTATTCCGCTATTTTGCAGTAGTGGTTGCACACTCTTCACAAACACGGGAGTCGTAAGGGTTAACACGTCGAAGAGAAACACCACCGGTTTCGCATCTGAGCAGGCTTGTAGGAGGGAAATGCGCCCCAACTGCTTCGCCTCCTCTGTTGTGCAGAAGGCCTCAATGTCAAGCGCAATGGAACGCGCCCGCAGCAAGGAGAGGACTGCCTCGTCTAATTTTTCAGGCGTGTCCACCACCTCGTAGGTGTACTTCAGGATCGCCAGGGAGGCAGGCGATACGGAGGCCGCGGACGCTGCGGTGCCTTTGCTCAAAACAGAACCCGCAGCGGCGGTTGCAAGTGGCCTCGAGGGCCGCCAGAGCCGTAGGACGCCAACGCGACGCAGCATCCAACGTGCCTTCGTCACCCTTTTGCGATGCAAAGAAGAAAAAGAAAGAAATGAAAAACAAACAAACAAACAACATTGTTCCAAAAACACAGAAATGAGAGCCGGACACCCATAATTGTTAGGGGGCGGAGGAGGAAGAGATGCCGCACCCGCCCTCCCTCTTTCCTCGCACACCGCACGACGATCACGCGCGAGGGAGAGAACGCGAGGACGAAAATCAAACAAAAACGAATGACGGCCAACGAGTGCGCGTGTTGTGTGTTCCACCACCACCACTTGGCGTCATTCCCTCGTGTCAACTCACTCTCAACATCTCCAGGTAATTCTTCAGCATGAAGAGAAAAACGCCTTCCTCTCGAACTACGTCTTGTGTGGGCCGCTTCTCGACCCAGCGTTCGAAAGACTCCGGCTTTGGTGGGCGGCCAAAGATGAGACGCTCCGGCTGAAGCAGCAGCGATCGCTTCTTTCGTGCGTCGCGTGGCCCCTCAAAGTGAAGCAACACCAGCGCCGCCTCTCGACCCTCCGGCTGCTTAGCTTGCGCGTGAAACAGACGACGCGTGAGAGACGCCACAACGCCGTGAGATGCGGCTGACCTCGATAGCTTCGACACGGAGTTATCTCTGTGACCGTACCAAACGTTGTGTGGACGAATGCACCATCCCCACTCGTAGCGCGCGGCTCCATACACGCGCAGGGCACCGCCTGGAGGAACAATGGCGTCAATGTCGCGCGCTGTCCAGGAGCCTTCGACCACCTCCCGGAACAAAGAGACTTTGGAGCGCAACAGCGGGGAAAATGTGACGACGGCGGCCTTCTCGTCGCGCCGCAGAGGAATGACGACGTAATCGTGCCCATCAAAACCCTTTGTCGCCTGTGGGCCGTGGTATAACTTACCACTCGGTGAATATTCCACATACACGTGACGGAGACGACCAACGCCTTTAAATGTGCGCTGCGTCTTATCCACCATGTAGCGCAGTGACGCCGGCATCAAGTCGTACCTGATGCCGTCCCCTGTTCCCCACGGCGCCTTCATCAACTGAATGTCCTCCGCGTGATCAGAAATGATGGTGACGTCACGGTAGAAACTCATGTCTACTGCCTCCGTCTTCGCCCGGTCTTCGAGCGTCGCAAGCTTCCTGGGGTCAACCTTTTGCCCAAACAACGAGGCCCATCGCACGACCTCGTCAAGCAATACTTGACTCTCCTCCCCCGAAAACGCATCTGGGGAAACATGCAGGCCTATGTTTTCATGCACAGACAAGGGCTCACCTTTTTTTTCGGCCCGAGAAGGTGGCGATACGCGACAAAAAAACTCCATCTCGGATTCTGTGAGTGGAGGGTAAATGTTCCCAGTTGGGTCCATGAGCTCCTCGCGCCACTGGTACGCCAGCCGCTTGCGTGAGGCGATGAAGCCCCCGACGGCCACGGTGGGCACGGCAAACGCCACAAACCATGTGCCGGCGCCAAGCATCACGGGCCGCTGAACATAACCCAATCAGAAAAAAAAGAAATAAATAAATGATAAAAGAAAGAAAGAAAGAAAGAAAGAGACTGCGCGTGCGCATGCGCATGTGCGTGTGTGTGTGTGTAAATAACGGGATTGAAGAAAGGAGACAGCAACGAGACGAGACTTCACACACCGACAGCCGATTGACACACATGAAGAGAGAAAAAAGAAACTAAAGAGGCCATCGTTGAGCGGCGGGAAAAAGAAACAAGAACGAGAGAAATAAATAAAAAAAATTCAACGCGTTGACGGCACCCATAAGATCAGTAATGAAGGTCATAATAAAGAGGGGCCCACTCCCAT